TGCCTCTTTGATTATTTAGCAGAAAAACTTTTTAGTAGTCAGAGTTGCAATGAAACTGAAGTAACGACAGATATTTTCTTTCACATTGAGACGTACATGCGAAATGAGTGAGTGAAGTGAATGGTGAATGTTGACTTTAAGAATGTGGAGATTATAGAAAAAAAAAACAATAGACAACAAATCACAAGCATACAAACCGCTAAAATAAATACTATAACGATAAATAATGGTATATTATAATATCGCCAATACAGCAGTGCAAATACAGCACATACCAGGACCATGCGTCATTAAATGCTGACATCATCATAACTGGGAAAAACAGAAACCATCAGCTGTCAATGAATGTAGTACTCAGGAAAAATGCATGATCAGATCATCCATCTTTATTATTTAAAAAAATGACTTTCCAATAGCAAACAGTGGCTTGGCTCCTAAGTGTTCAATACATTTTAATAATGAAACACGGGTGCAATTCCAATAGTTAATCACATTATTAAGTAACTTAGTAAGAGAGACATTATGGAATGTTCAAACCGTTTCAGACGTAAAACTACAAATAAGTCTTTTGGTTCCATGTGCTTTGTACAGTGAGTAAACAATTAAATGTGAAATAATGCACTTTCTTCTCCTCACATGAAATAATTTTGTTCCATACATATCAGGGAGATGTTTATCCTCTGTTTCCCAGTTACATTTTTGGGTCAACAGGAAGTCATCTACATTTAAGGGGGAAACCATACCTGGACAAAGAAAGCTCCCTCTAGGGCCTGCAGCAGGTCATCATGACTGCTGAGAAGACTCAACTGCTGTGCAGCCGTGAGATTTCCTCTCAGCATTTTGGCTTGCTGAAGCTCCTCAAGCTGTTTCCTGCTCACACACAAAAACACAATATTCAGCTTAAAAATTCAACAAAATGTGTACAAAATCTGTCCGCTGTTCTGCCCAAATACAGTGTTTCAATCATGGTTTATGATTGATAACAAGACATCTTTTGCAGGTGTAAGTTATGTCTTTCAAAAACTACTTTTTACTGAAGCAACTCTGCATGCATTACAGAAGATCTGTCATTCCCGCATTTTAGTGAGGGCACCTACACTGTAAAAAATTATTTTACTGAAGTTGTAAATAAAAGAAAGATTATTGTAGAGTGTTTTACAAGAAAACACTATTTCAGTTTTTCTACTTCAAAATGTCATGTTTACTTCAATGTGTTTGTGAAATTTACTAGCAATTTCTGAGTGAAGTTTGTTTCTACACC